TGTCGTGTTACATGGAAAAACATTTTCAGTGATAATTTGTCTGCTGAAAGTGTTAATATATCCTATTTGTTACAGAAACCTTAGTGCAATGTGTCACGGACTAAGAATCAAATTATGGTTACTGGATAAATATTTAAATTCTAGAGGGCAATTAGCTGCAAAAGGAAAGAACCAAAATCATAAAAAAATCTGCAACTGCTTCGTTAAGTTTGTTTGAACCAACTACTTAAGTATTTTATCCAAACTCAAAATAAGAGGCACAGAGCAGCTCCCAAGTTGTTCAAACATACATTCTTTCTTCATCTGCTGCGTGCAGAAGAATGTACTGCTATTTTGCTCAAGAAAAAAAAAATCAGTTTAGAGTCTTAGAAGATGGCCTCAGCAAATAATAGTCTCCAGGGTTTCATGAGCAGTGTACCCTCCAGCTGTCATTGTGGATATGTGACACTAGAGATAGCACTGGGCATGGGAGAGAAATTACTTCTCCTCCAACAAAATATTCCCATATTTCTTTCAGATAGCAGCTACTCTCTTATTGAGGCTGGGGTCTTAGAGGGTTGGTGCTCTCTGCAAAGATTTTATGGGGGAAGAAGACACTGTGTCACAAAAAGATCTAGTAAGGGATTCAAAGAAAGGAGGGTGTGATTGACAGAAGGATGTCCACATGCTAAGCCCTGGAGCCTGTAAATATGTTCTGTTACATGGAAAGGAAGAATTAAGGCTGCAGGTGCACAATAATCTGCTGAACCACAATCCTGAGATGAGGAGATTATCCTGGATTATCCAAGTAGTACCAAAGTACTCAGAAGGGTCCTTAAGGGAAGAGTGAAGCAGAAGAAAAGGTCACAGTGGTACAATGTGAGAAGTACTTGAGCTCATTTTGAAGATGGAAGAAGGGGCACAAGTTAATGGACTTGTGCAACTTCTCCAAAATGGAAAAGGCTAAAAAATTGATTATCTCCAAAGGCCTTCAGAAAGGAAGGCAGCCCTGACAACACTTTGATTTTATGCCAGTGAGTCCCATTCTGGACTTCTGACCTTTAAAATTGCAAATTAATAAATGTGTACTGTTTTAACCTACAAAGTCACTGGTAATTTGTTGCAGCAACAATTTGAAACAGAGGATGAATGGTGAAGAGGGAAGGACTGAGAGGCATGTCAACAAGCTCTGTTATGATTAGCCATGGGAGCTTAATTAAGGAAGCTATTTCTTTGAGGCTCCATTTTCCCATTGCTATAGTGAGTTTAAACTATCAAATTCAAATAAGACTACTTTTAAAAAACAATATAATTTGAATAATTTATATGGAATTTACCAGTAGACATTTAAAAATTTGAATTTATTCACTTATTTATTTTTATGATGACTTTTTAAAAAGAGTAGTACTATGGTTTGTGTGTGTTCCCCAAGGAGTCACATGTTATAAGCATGGTCCCCACATGATGATGTTGAGAGGTGATGAACTTCCAAAAGGTGGAGCTGGGGGATCTGGTTGTGTTTTCGGGGGCACTACTCTTGCAAAAGATTAAGGTAGTTGCTTATGGAACTTTTAGAGTGAGTTGTTATAAAAGAGCCCCTCCCCACTCTGGTTGCTGGTCTCACCATGTGCTCTCTCCCTCGCTCGTGTGCTTTCACTACTGTGATGCCACCAGGAAGTGACACAACTAATGGGTCCCTCAGTAGGCTGGTGCTAGACTGTTTGGACTTTCACTTTCCAAAACTGTGAGCTAATAAACTTCTTTACTCTTTACAAATTACCTAACTTCAAGTATTTCATTATAGTAATGGGGAATAATAAGCAGTTTTAAGTACTCAGCAAAATTTAGGAGAAGGTACAGAGCTTTCCCATATATTCTGCCCCTCCAAACATTTAGAGCCTCCCCCATTATTAACACCCTCCAGTAGAGTGAATGGTACATTTGTTACAACTGATGAATCTACATGGATACAACATTATCTTCCCAAGTCCATAGTTCACATTAGGGTTCACCTTTGGTACTGTATACCCTATGCATTGGGACAAATGTATAATGACATGTATTCAACAGTATAGTGTCAGAGTATTTTAACTATCCCAAATGCTTCTTTTCTCTCTCTCTTCTAACCCTGGCAACCACTGATCTTTTTATTTTCTCCATAATTTTGTCTTTTCCAGAATATCACACATAGTTGGAATCATACAATATATAACCTTTTTAGATTAGCTTTTTTACTTGGTAATATTCACTTATATTTCCACTGTATCTTTTTTTCTGGTTTTATAGCTCATTTCTTTTTAATGCTGAATAATATTCATTGTACCATGGTTCCTTTATTAACCTACCAAAGGACATTTTGGTGTCTTCCAAGTTTTCTCTGTTATAAATAAAGCTGCTTTAAACTTCCATGTGCAGGTTTTGTGTGGGTATATTTTCATTTCCTTTGGGTAAATATCAAGGAGAGTGATTGTTGGATCACACAGTAAGAGTATATGTAGTTTTCTAAGAAACTACTAAACTGGCTTCCAACATCTGTACTATTTTGCCTTTCCACCAGCAATGAATGGCAGTTATTATTGCTCTATGCCCTCATCAGCATTTGATGTTGGTGGTCTGAATTTTGGCCATGTTAGTTGTGTGTTGGTGTCTCATAGTTATTTATAAGACTACTTTTGACATTAAATGAGATCACATTTTTAAATTGTCCAGATCCAGGCCTGACATGCTAAAGGTGTTCATCATTGCAATCCTTGTCTCCTGTAGCACTCGGTGCCAGGATGCAATATAAGGATCACAAAAGAAGAGAAAGAAGGATAAAAAAAAATCATGGAGAAAAATGTTGGGCCTGAAGGGTTTCAGATAAGGAAACCACATCACCCAGCACTATTTGGGACAGAGGTACCTGCTAGTGATCTAAAGAAACTTTCATACTATGAGGGTGTGTTCTTCAGAAAAAGAAGAAGGGAGCTAGAACAACAGTATGGAGAGCAGAAGAAGGAACAGAATTAGAAGAGGGAAGAATGAGCAGAATAAGAAGAGGACGAAAAGTAAAGGAACACAGGGTGGGATCTAGATTGGAAGAAAATATGGGTGGGATTTCCCCTGCCAAGTACCTCTACTAAGAAAAGAGTCCTCGATCCTACATTATTCTTCCCCTTCATTTAGCACTATTTAAGATCACATTCATACACAAACATACATGAATTAATTGAAAGTAGACTATGGGGGCTCATACTTTTCTGTCAAATTCCAAAGATGGATCTTTTAAAAGAATTAGAGAAATGTAGTCTTGAGAAAAGTAACTGAAAACTAACTAGTTAAATGATATTAAGTCTCTTGACCTTTCATCGATTATTTCTTTTTCAGTGATGATGCAACATGCATGTAAGTTGTATATAGGTGAGATCTCTGAAATAAATGACAACGTCATGTTTTATAGAATGATGCTCAAGATATTAGAGAAGTATATGAACAGTGAAAAATGAAAATTTTAAGTCTGAATCATAACTTATTCCCTTTTAAGCTTTGCAGCCAATGTAGATTTCATGTCTAGAGAGTTGTAAATGTAATGGAATAATTTCAACATCCAAGTTGTAATAAAAATCATGGCTAGGGTTTGGATGTACATTTTGTTCAAAAGAATTTTTATTAAAATTTGTGATATTGCACAACTTTGAATAGGCCATTTTATGGTTAGGACAAGTCTATTTTTAATAATACATCAAATTTTAAGAAATAAGTAGATTTTAAGACCATTTTTCAGTTTATTAATAAATTATTTATGAGAAAGGCACAAAAAGAAACCTCACAAACTATTGTTCTTTTAAAGTAGTGTTTGTAAATTGCAAAGTGACTTAGTGTGTAATATATCTAGTTTCAAATTTTAACAAGATTATTTTCATGGTTTCTTTTTCAAGCCAACCTAAAATTGAGTTAAATATCATTCAAATACATTAGTTATAGAGATTTTTCAATGCTTTTTAAAAAGAAAAAGAAGTTTTCTTAAGTGACCATGACATGTTTAAGTAAATATTTCTCCAAAGGTTCAGTGTGTAATTTAATTTGAGAAGATATGAGTAAACACAGACCTGCTGTAATATTTTAGGAAGTAATTTACTATTTCCTCTGATTTTTGGAAAGCCCTTTAAGATATACAAAATCTGCTGCAATTTTCCACAGCTCTGCTTTTTCTAAAGGCTTCACAGCTTGTATAACCGGTAGTGTTTGATAAGCCTGTTAATCAATGGTCTCAGAAATCTCAGGTTAAAAGAAAAGAACAACTCATTGCATCTTTTCTCTATCTACCCTTTGTTTCACTGACTCCCATGACTTCACTACTGGTCTGAAATTGAGTTACAGATCAAAAGATTTTTCTTATCTACACCCCCATATTCTGTAAGAATATGCAGAGATTTTTTAAAAAGTCAACATTTACTTAGTATAAAGAGCTCTAAGTTTGATCTATGAGAGCGAACAGACTTATCTAACACCCCCCCGCCAAAAAAACCCAGCTCAATTAGCTGGTCTACGCAGGTACTCATCTTCCCCTCCTAAAGAGCTCTGCTGGCAGCAGTCAAAACCAAAGTGGGAACTTAATAAAAATGAAAATTGTGGTAGCAAAATACACTTACTAGGTTAATTTGACATATTGCAAAAATTTGGTAGGTTAAAGCGGTTTCTATATAACCACAGTACTAATTTAGAAAACCCCAGAGAAACAGCTGCATATTGATGTATAACCTGCATTACTGCATAGGAAACCCCAGAATTTCAGGGTGTGTCTTCAGATGCCAGTGTTTGGACATAGCATTTGTGAAAAGAGGTTTATACACCTCTTGAGAAATAGTGCGACAAGGAAACCTGTAAAAATTACACTTCTGCATTTTGTAAATACATACTTGCTCCAAAGATCCCATTGTTTATTACTTTTGCTACAGACAGGCAAAGGATGGAAAAGTGAAGTCAGTTCTGCAGTCTACTCAGAAAACTCTTGTGCTCATACCACAGGATTATCTGATTACCTGTGAATGTCTCCACTTCCGGCATTTGGTAAAAATTGGCCGAGGCAGCCCTGGCAGAAGGTCTTCCAGCTGCTGGAAGATTAATTCCTGCACATCCTCTGTGCTCTGCTCCAAGTACTTAACTCCAAAGGGGACGGTGGTGTGAATCACTAGGGAAGGCCCAGTTTCGGATGACTCTGTAGTGTAAGAGGAACAAAGACACATGTTACTGTGAGGGAACATGCAAGGTCTGCCAGCCTTTCAACTCAGTTAAAAATGAAGCATAAATGAAGCTATTTCAGAAATTCAAAATCAGCTTCAGCTTTCCTGAAGAGGAAGACAGATTCAAGATATGCTTTACAGAACCAGTCTTATTAAAGTACTGAAAGGAAGGGTAACAAAAATACTTAATGTGTATTGACTTGGGAATAGCTGAATTTATTGGTATTTTCACCTCTCATCCACTAAATTGAAAGCTCTTCAGGGCAGGGACCACCCCCTTCTCTTAATACATATCCTCTATCCTTAAATTCTGAGGACAAAGTGATGTTTAATAAATACTTATTCATTTTATATTAAGCAGATTGAAAAATATTTTTCTGAAATTATACAAATGCTAGACCAAATATCTTTAACCCCTTCAAAAAGAAATCAAACTCCTCTCTAAAAACAGAATTGTCCTCATAATATTTTTCTTTTCTTTCTTTTGTTTTTTTCTTGAATAGGGTCTCACTATGTAGCCCAGGCTGACCTTGAACTCATGATCCTCCTGCTTTAGACTCCTGAGTGCTGGGATTACAGGCATGTAATCCTGCTTCTTTATCTTTTAATCAGCATTATAAATAAAAGTTTGCTCCATATATAACAATGGGAGCTGCTTTCCACTTTTGTTTGCCACTGAATTTGTTTTTGCTATATTTTCACAATTATAAACAATGAGTGTCTGCTTATTATCTTTCACTCTTTGGAAGAATACAGGCAACTGAATAAAGTTTGAAGTTGAAAGCAAATTCAGGCAATGGAGACATTAGAAAACAATCTTGGAAAGATGGTTAACAAGAATTTGTTATTTGTTTAAATCATACAGAAGCAAAAGTTGAGGGGGAACAATAATAGTTTTCAAATGCATGAAACATAAGAAAGTTGTTTCCCCGATGAAAGAAAAGAATGCGAGAGTATGTAAGGTGCTAATGGGCTGGCAAGCTCGATTGTGAAAATTCTTTCATTTTGATTGCAAAAGGCAATACTATTTGAGTTACATTGGTACAATTTTACACAGGAAAGAAAGGGTTGAATGATATAAGCCACTTAAGCCACTTCCTTGCTGCATGCCCACTTAACCTCTTTACATTTCAGAGACTTTTTTTATTTTTGTAAAATGGGAGTAAGTTTGTACCTACCACATAGTTTATGGTATAGATTAAGTATCATAGTGTACATGAAATGCCGGGCACACTTTCTGGTACAGAGGAGGTACTTAATAAATGCAAACAATAGGAATGAAAGCAATAAACCAGACACAAGTGCAATGTTCCTGAGGTCAAATTATAGGTCTGAGGTTTTTTTTTTTTTTTTTTTCCTCCATTGCACTTGGGTCAGAGAATTCATAACCATGGCTTATGAATTTTATAGCAAAATACAGGGAACAAATCCCCAAGTGATGTAAGTCTTTTAAAGTGTAGTAAGTGCTTCCAAATAATTTCACACATATGAAGTTAGGGACGTGAATTCAGAATCTGTGCAGTAAATGCCACAGTCAGTCAGATTGTCCATTGTTTACCTCACTGTAGCTGGAATAACTTGAAGGGGAAACAGAGGGACCATCTTTTGAGCATTGAATGTTTAACCTGTAGGTTTGGATTTTTCTGGTTCCATCCAGCAGTCCGAAAATATCTCAGGGATGCTGCCACACTGAGAAATCCATTGGATATTGTCTCAGTGGGTGTTATTTATGGTGTTGGTTAATAAACTGAAGAAGGATTGTTCTAGTGAGAGCGTAATCAATGCCATTCTACTTCTACATTTGGTAACTTTGTGGTATCAAATCTTCCCAGTGACAGAGAAAGCTATCTGGTCAGCATTTTGAAACACAGGCGATGGAGTTCTACTTGCCATCTATAATAGGCTTCAAAGCGACATGAATGCCAGTTGTGTGCTAGCACTGAGAATCAAGAGGTTGCACTAACTCAGTCATTTGTTCTAGGAAGAACTCATAAAGTCACTAAGACCAGTGAGGGGCAATGCCAAGTTTCTCCCATTTACATTAACTATCTACTCTTAGGAGAGTGATAAAAATGAAATTTAAGACCCAAAGTGAAACAGTTCTTGCATAACAATGAGAAAACAACCTGGTTACTTTTCTTGGAACTGGACAAAATTTTTTGAGAATTTAGATTAAAATTTGAATAGTTACAAGCTAAAACCACCAGTTGAGGGGAAAGTGTCCCCAACCCCAAATTAAAGGGTATTTTTAGAAGATGAAGTCGAAAATACAGAGTCAACCAGAGTTTAAACATGACCAAGATTTGGAAATACAGAATTATAAAAAGCCACAAATATTTTAATAGGATTCAGAGAATAAATTTAGTAGAATCATTATTCCTTAGGCACTGAGAAACTAACGATGCTATCTTTTCTTTATCAGTTTAACAAGCATAGCCCTTTGCTTTTGGCATATCAATTGCAAAGTTCATAGGAAGCTGACTATTATTTCTGTACTTTGGGAGATCAATGGTTGTAGAGTCAGAAGATAAGCATTTGAACCCCTGCATCCTTAGTAGCCCTGTGGACTTGAACAAGTTAATTTCTTGCCATACTACTTGGCTTATAAGGCTATTATGAGGTTTAAATGGTTAAGTCACATAAATGCCTGTTCTTCAAATATGAGGTGCTACACAATGTAAGGCATTCCTGGGAAATACTCATGTTTTGAGCTCTGTTGTATTGAGAGTGGCTTAGAAGGGAATAATGGAATTGACTTCTCTCAAAGCATTAAGATTATTACATCAACACCTCAGGATCAATGGCAGACTACTCCAGAGCATAGGCACAGTAATGTTTTTATTGTATTAAAATGTATATTAACATAAAATTACCATTTTAACATGTTTTAGATGTACACTCCTGTAGGGTTAAGTATATTCACATCGTTATGCAACCATTGCCACCATCAATCTCTAGAATTTTTCATCATCCTAAACTGAAACATCCTAAAATGAAACTCCACATCTATTAAATATGACTCTCTACTTTCTATTTCCCCCAGCCCTTGGCAACCACCATTCTATGTTCTGTCTACAAATTTTCCTGTTTTCATATAAGTGGAATCATACAGTTTTGTCCTTTTGTGACTGGTTTCTTTCACTTGGCATATGGTTTTCAAGATTTATTTATGTTGTTTACTTTGAATATTTGGAAGGTATTTACAACAGAATTAAGGAAACTCCCTTACACTATTTTTTTTTGCCATAAATTGATATTTAATTTTATCTTTTGTTATTTCTGATTTTCTAGATACATGGCTTTTATACCTTAATTTGTTTATGTTGTGAATTATAATAAGTATATTATTTTGATATACCAAAAAATCCCACCATGTTGAAGCACGTAATAGTACTTTATTCTTTCATGTTGTCGAGTAAGGATTCCATTGTATGAGTATACCACATGCTGTTCATCAACAATGGACACTTGGGTTGCTTCTTACCTTTTGGCTATTGTTAATAATGCTGCTTGGAATCTGACTACACAAATGTCTGGTCAAGTCTCTGTTTTCACTTCTTTGGAGTATATAGCCACAAGTGGAATTGTTGGGTCATACAGCAATTCTATCTACTTTTTGAAGAATTACCATTCTTTCACACTAGTTACACCATTTTTATATTTCTCTTAACAATGTACAAGAGTTCTAGCTTTTTTTCATCCTTTCCAGTACTTGTTATTTTCTGCTTTTTATGTTTGTTTGTTAATAGCTATCCTAATAAGCTAAATGGGTATTTATTGTATAGTGTACAATTTTGAGTGGGGGTCAGGACATTGAATGGTGATAATAGCCAGTGACTCATGCTTGTAATCCTAGGTACTCAGGAGGCAGAGATCAGGAGGATGGCAGTTGGAAGCCAGCCTGGGCAAATAGTTCTATGAGACCCTACCTTGAAAAACCCTTCACAAGAACAGGGCTAGTGGAGTGGCTCAAGGTGAAGGCCCTGAGTTCAATTCTTAGTACTGCAAAAAAAAGAAAAGTGTTAACAATAGTCCCAGAAGTAGCAGCAGTATTAACCATTGTTAATAGAGCTTCGGCAAAGAAAGTTCTCACATTAATTACTTATAGTGACAACTCAGTCACCTGTTCTCCAAATAGAAACTGAAATTTGTTTTGAAATAAGCACCTGGCTTCCTCAGATCCATGGTCATATCAGCTGTAATAAAAACATTAACATGTTAAGTTTACTTAATTAAAAACAAAGATTGTCATATTGATTCAAAACAGTGACATCCAACTACATGTTTCTTATAATAAAAATATTTTTAAAGTAAATTTTAACTCAGTTGTTGAGAGACTATGCTATATATGATGTTTTAAGATTTGTCAAATGGATATACATTTCACTCTCATAAGTGCAGTATTTGTACTTGAATAGAATTTTCTGGATGGCAAATTAACATTTTATATAAGTCCATTAGAACAATCTCATTAATTGTGCGATTTTCATAAACCAAGTTCTCCCATTTTTTTTGTCTGCTTGACCAATTACTGAGAGAAGCATCTCTCCTCATGATGGTAAGCTTACCAATGTCTCCTTTCAGGTTGGACAAGTTTTGCTTTCTAGTAAGTAGTTTCCTGATACTGAATCTTTTAATAATATGCTCTAAACATTTTTATACAGAGATTTGTTTTTACTTTCAAGTTTATTTTTTGCTTTTTTTGTCTTATTTTTCAATACTGGTTTCTTTTTTATAATTTTAAAAAAATGCCTTTTTTATTATGCCATTTTTACATTCTATTTCTCCCTCTATTCATTTGGAAGTTATATATTTATTGATATTTTTAAGGGATATTTATACATTTAAGCATCTATATTAAATTTAAAATTAAAAGTATATTAACATCTTTATCATTTTTCCAAATAATATTTGAGCTTTAGAACATTTTAGTTCTGATTTTATATGCTTTCCTTTGCCTGGGATTATTTTCCTT